GTCAGTTTTCACCTATTTGTTCATTCCCCATTGGTTTACACTGAAATCGCAAACCGTCTCAAAAAGACTCACGTAACTGCAAGAATGTCAGTTTTCACCTATTTGATCATTCCCTTTGGTTTACATTGAAATCGCAAAGCGTCTCAAAAAGACTCAAGTTACTGCAAGAATGTCAGTTTTCACCTATTTGATCATTCCCCATTGGTTTACATTGAAATCGCAAGCCGTCTCAAAAAGACTCAAGTTACTGCAAGAATGTAAGTTTTCACCTATTTGATCATTCCCCATTGGTTTACATTGAAATCACAAACGGTCTCAAAAAGACAAGTTACTGCAAGAATGTCAGTTTTCACCTATTTGATCATTCCCCATTGGTTTACATTGAAATCGCAAACCGTCTCAAAAAGACTCAAGTTACTGCAAGACAGTTTTCACCTATTTGATCATTCCCCATTGGTTTACATTGAAATCGCAAGCCGTCTCAAAAAGACTCAAATTACTGCAAGAATGCCAGTTTTCACCTATTTGATCATTCCCCATTCGTTTACATTGAAATCGCAAACGGTCTCAAAAAGACTCAAATTACTGCAAGAATGTCATTTTTCACCTTTTTGATCGTTCCCCATTGGTTTACATTGAAATCGCAAACCGTCTCAAAAAGACTCGTTACTGCAAGAATGTCAGTTTTCACCTGTTTGATCATTCCCCACTGGTTTACATTGGAATCGCAAACCGTCTCAAAAATACTCACGTAACTGCAAGAATGTCAGTTTTCACCTATTTGATCATTCCCCATTGGTTTACATTGAAATCGCAAGCCGTCTCAAAAAGACTCAAACTGCAAGAATGTCAGTTTTCACCTATTTGATCATTCCCCATTGGGTTACATTGAAATCGCAAACGGTCTCAAAAAGACTCAAGTTACTGCAAGAATGTCAGTTTTCACCTTTTTGATCATTCCCCATTGGTTTACATTGAAATTGCAAACCGTCTCAAAAAGGTTCAAGTTACTGCAAGAAGTCAGTTTTCACCTGTTTGATCATTCCCCATTGGTTTACATTGAAATCGCAAACCGTCTCAAAAACTCAAGTAACTGCAAGAATGTCAGTTTTCACCTATTTGATCATTCCCCGTTGGTTTACATTGAAATCGCAAACCGTCTCAAAAAGGCTCAATTAACTGCAAGAATGTGTTTTCACCTATTTGATCATTCCCCATTGTTTTACATTGAAATTGCAAACGGTCTCAAAAACTCGTTACTTCAAGAATGTCAGTTTTCACCTATTTGATCATTCCCCATTGGTTTACATTGAAATCGCAAACCGTCTCAAAAAGACTCACGTAACTGCAAGAATGTCAGTTTTCACCTATTTGATCATTCCCCATTGGTTTACATTGAAATGGCAAACCGTCTCAAAAAGACTCAAGTTACTGCAAGAAGTCAGTTTTCACCTGTTTGATCATTCCCCATTGGTTTACATTGAAATCGCAAACCGTCTCAAAAAGAGTCAAGTAACTGCAAGAATGTCAGTTTTCACCTATTTGATCATTCCCCATTGGTTTACATTGAAAAGACTCAAGTTACTGTAAGAATGTCAGTTTTCACCTATTTGATCATTCCCCATTGGTTTACATTGAAATCGCAAACGTTCTCAAAAAGACTCAAGTAACTGCAAGAATGTCAGTTTTCAACTATTTCATCATTCCCCATTGTTTTACATTGAAATCGCAAAAGGTCTCAAAGAGGCTTAATTTACTGCAAGAATGTCAGTTTTCACCTATTTGATCATTCCCCATTGGTTTACATTGAAATCGCAAACCG